GGATACGCCCAGAGTCACGGAACGGATTAAGTTCGTATCCCGAGGTACCACTGTATTTGATTCATATTTGCTGTCGAAATAGCATAGTGTAGAGTTTAAGTTCAACTTCTCCTTCTGGTGCTGGCCTTCATTGGCAGGTCCCTGATGGTCACAGGTTTGATAGCCACCTACCTTTCTCAGAAACAGCCACAGATCCTACCACAATCAGGTCCACATGGACTTTTGCATCTAGCCCTATGGGGACACTATAATCTCTGACACCCTAAAGAAAAAAAAAAGAGAGATCAAAGAAAAGACAGCGGAAGGAAAGTACTTTTGAAATCCCCCTTCCCCAAAATTATCTTTCCACCCATTGGAACAGAACAGAAGCTTCCTCTGTTCTCAACAGTTGACACTGTTGGATTCTTTGGAAATGACCAACTTGATCTTCAGGAAAGGCATGGAACTGCAGGTTAAGCTCTGCCCCAGTTAACACAAGACTTTCAATGCTTTTCTGGATTGAAAAACGGCAAATAAATTTCCAGAATGAGAGATGCCAGCATAGAACTGCAATTTGCTGTTACTACCTTTGATCTGAGTCATAATCATGGTTTCCTGCCCAACCACAGTTCATCAGTATGAGGACAGTTGTGTTTTTTCCATTGCTGCTCTTGGGAATTACCTACCCTTTTCTAATTATTGTTGGTTGTCTTTTGGATACCTCACTCCACACCTTGTCACAGGAGCTAGATTCACATGCACTTACTGAATTAATCATATTAGCTTTTGAAATCACCATGATTGTGTTAATCCATCCTCTGGCTAGTGTGGTTTTAGCTAGGGTTGTGGGCTACACAGCCAAATGTGATTGTTTCAGTGGACCAAATTAAGCAAATGTTGGCTTAAGATGTTGCATTAACCCAATCTTATTTTCTGCATTGATGTCCTAACTCCACATGGACCCCAACCGTTCATGCCTTCTAGTAGGTACGCACCATCTCTGGACCTCATATCACTTGACAATATCTATGAGCAATTCAGATGCCATAACTTTCTAGGCTGGTTTTTTGCTATTACGGATTATCCCATATGCAGAACACAGATCCATGTTGTCATTTCAACACAAGAGGGCACCAAAGTGCCACGGTGAAGTGGGCAGGTAGAAGGTGAGCTTCTGTCCCCAATCAGCCACATCGTGCAATCCCTCCCCACTTGTTTCTGACACTTACTTGGGAGGTGGCACATTTTCTGAGTGTCTCCTTAGTTGCTCCAGGAGGAGGGACAATCCTGTTGAACAGCCCAGTACGCAGCCGAGGGGTGGGCACCAGGAGTGTTTTTCTGGCCTGCAAGAAGAGGAAATAAGTCAATGGACCAGCCTTCCAGCTATAACTCTCCCTCACCCAGATTCAAAGGAAACCAGGAATGTTTCTTTCTGCTCATAGGACTCAGGACGATGCTAACAGGTAATGTTTCTTCCAAACTGAGCTGAGCTCCTGGTGACTTTGTGGATACAGTTCAAGTAGTTTTATCAGCAACTTTATTTATTTATTTATTTATTTATTTATTTATTTATCCAATCCATATAGCCGCCCATCTCACCACAAGTGACTCTGGGCTGTGTACCGCAAAGCTAAAAACAGTCAATGTGGATACGGTTTATGATGGTCTTCAAAGATTTTTTTTTTCCAATTTTCTAGTCCAGCCCAGAGCCCTGAAATTTTCTGGTGGTTGCCCATCCAAGGACTAGCCAGGACTGACCCTGCTTAGCTTTTTGAGATCAGTGAAGGTCAGCTAGAGGCAACTATGTAGGACATCCCTTATGGAGATGAAGAAGTCCCCTGAATTTTGGCTACTGTAAGCTAATGTGGGTCTCCTCCTACAGGGTCTATTTAGGAAAATAGTAGAAAACAAACCAAAGGGAAGTATTTCCTCACACCATCCCTTATTAACTGAGGGAAGTCATTGCCACAAAATGCGACCGGGAGGAGAAGATTGAATGGCATGAGGAAGGAACTAGGACAGGTTATGGAAGAAGAAAATATTCACTGGAGGGAGTGGGTTACAATGACTAAGTGGACTAAATATTTGGAACTGTTAGAGCTTCATAAGGTAGGAATGGCTTTTAGGGACCGTTGAGAGCAGGGTGTGGCATCTGAGAAACATCTGGACTGATTCAGCAGAGGCTCCTTGGGGTCCAGATCAGAGCCCAGGCTGTCCCAGAGCCGAGCGATGAAAACTGGTTTACCTGGAGCGCAGACAGACGGATGCCCTCGAGAGGTTTGTCTGGATCCACTTTCACCTCCCGGGCTTGATCAAACACATCCCAGGTGTTGATGGACCCACTTATTTGGAAAGATCCCTGCAAGGGAAAACAGGGCCTACTCACTTCCAGGGTTAAAAAACGGATGTCCTTCTGGGGAGAGTCAGGGTTGGCTTTAACTGTCCTGGCACTCTGGAATTCCCACAAATCTGGAAATCGTGCTGAGGCAAGAGAGGCTCCCTGTGGGGCAAGGCAGCTCAGATCAGTGGGGGATCCATACAACTATGGAACCAGCCTTCCTTCTAGTCACCTAATTCATCTCTCTAGGCCAGCGTTTCTCAACCTTGGCAACTTTAAGCTGTATGGACTTCAACTCCCAGAGGCTGGCACCC